ACTATGTTTCAAACTACGTACTCGCCTACATAAGTCTTAAGAAAGTTTACTTGAGCCTAAAATGCATATATGTAAGATACTGGTGTCGCAAAACTACGACAGTCCAACACATTCGACAAAGAAGTGCGGTCTTACTCTGCTGTCGGACACCAGAGTATGAAGTGCCTGGGATGAAAACGGTTTCGTTTCAGGTGGTTTATGTATTAATATGGTGAAAACCAAAATGCTTTCGAGTTACATCAGAGGCCATGAAGAGACCCTTTGGGGATAAATAGCTGGAAGTCGAAGAAGTGTACGATTTAAAATACTCTAGGGCGAAGTTTCTACTAACCGGACGGGATAAGAATGGTGTCCTCCTCGTTGATGGTGATAATAGGATTCTTTAGAGATTTTAGGCCTCCCGTTGAACCTTCGCGAGGTTTTAATTGCTACAAAGACCCCTTGAAACAGGCATCCGTTCATTCAGTCCTCTTGTGTGATCATGGATCCAGGATTGTGTGCGCGGAAAATCAGAAGAATTTGACAAACACCGAGCTGAACTGAACTGAACTAATTACATCAACTTTATTTCGACTGAAACAGTCTGAACGCAACGCAACGATGGTATGAGAACATTTCTGTCACTAGCGAAGGACGACTGAGAAAGATTATCAGGTTCTTCTACGTCAGCTCAACGACTTAAGTGCTGATAATTTTTGTATGACACATCTGTCTAATTGAAGACAGAGGGCAACTCAAAGTTTGTCTGGGACAATTTGTTAGATAGTCCTTGGGCCTCTGGTATTCAGATTTCAAGGCCGGAGAGATGACTGGTTCGAGTTTTCCAGGTTCGTTTTCACATATCTTCAAGAGTGTAGGCGCAACCCTTGACATCTTCGAGGCCGGTAAGATCAGGCGCGACCACAACGGCACGAATTATAACACTTACAATATCCATTCGGCAAGGGGTAATCAACACGTATTCCAATTGTTAGAATCAATTTAATTAGTGGGTAGAAACAACATTATCATATTCTAGTTTTGAGAAATGGTTGGATTGGTAGGTAAAAAAAGCATTACCACATGGAAAACCCAAAACGATGTTAACCAAGAGGGTTTATCCTTCGGATGGACTGCAACGATAACGATTTACAGGAAACATGGCAGGGGCTGGAGAAAATGGACAGCTAACAAGGGTAAATGACTGCAAGAATAGCCGGTAAAATCACGTAGCCTGATAAAATGCGGCACAAACAAGTACGCACCTTCATCCTTAACCACGTTCTTTTGAGGGGCCATGGTGACACGTTCCGCATGCACCGCGCAATTCTCAACAAGTGAGCTTTTAAGTTTACCGCCTGTATTTCGGTTTAGTTAAATCGCCTCACTCGGATGCTTCAAACAAAACCTTAAAGGTAACCAGGAGTCCAAAAAGAATCAAATATTTTTCGTCGATGGTTAAGAGTGAACGCATAGATAAGACTCAATGCAAGTACTCAACTTCATCCTACAGAGTGTTGGCACGCAATTTCAGTATTTTGGCTAGAGTTCCGTCGAGCAATGAAAATTTTCAAGTTTCAAGTTCACACTGAAATCCACATATTTCAAAAGCTACACTAGCACTCTTAAAGTAGTTGCGGACTATCAAGACAAACTAAATCAAAAAAATCATTGAAAGATTTGTAAGCAAACCAAAATACGGTCGGTTGATTCCTTTTATGGCGGGGAGCAGCAATCCAAAAATTGCATATTGAGAAGCACGTACCTAGCAAAGTACTAAAAATGGGTCAAGATGACAAGTCTTGATAGGGTTGCCTTTATTTTCTAAAATACGCTAAAGCTATTTGAAACGGCATTTCCCTCCGTGCTAGTAAATGGTTAACTTATTCATCTATCTATTAGAGACAGTTGATAAGGAGTTTCTTAGTCCCTCGTGGACACTGCTCCCTCCGCACCTTGTTACTGGTAGCAACAATGATGAAATTTCCGGCAGAGTGGATACGAGTCCTGATTTTATCCTGTGGTATCATCTTGTGATTTCATTGTCTCTTGCGCCCTTATAGCAAAATTCAGGTAATCAAGACTAGTATTTTTTTGATGTACTTCGTAACTGATTTTGATTGGTCCATAGACTACTTGCGGACGCGTTACTAAGAGCGCAAACGCGTCTGCGGGCTGCTATTGCAAAATCGGTTGCACTGTTTGCTGAGAGGCCGGTGCGCGATATCGCACGCTGCCGAGCGGTAACATTCCCGCCTTGACAGTCCCGTTCACCTATACTGTGTAAATAGTATTAGTGTTGTTCTTTTTTCCGCATATTGATGCATGTGTCGCGACAAAACCCCAGAGCGTTATCATGAATTTTTCGCGTCAGGTGCATCTTCGTCAGCCCCCTATCTTAGCTCATCCTCCTCTTCATTTAACCTGAAATGGTGTCGCCGATCGTTGTCGGATGACGAAGGAGCGAGTTCGGTTCCTGGTAGTAAGCGACCGAGTACAATAAACCTACATTAGCAAACGGCGTTCTTTGCATTGATATCCACTGATGATGTTCACGCATACGTGAACAGGGATTTCCAAACCCTTTTCACTGACAGCATTACCAACGACCTCACTTTCTACGATTGTCAGCAAGGAAATCATTCTTCCAAACGGATACGTAAAACTTTATCCTACGTAAAATTTACTCCTTTTTCTCTCACCCTTCTTTTCTCAGAGGCTGATATGGTAGGCAAAAAATCGGTGCCTAGAGTAGGCTTTTTTATGTACATTTAAGAAGGCTTACAATAGGCACCTGAAGCTGGGGAGTAAGGCCTGTGCTGAAAAAGCACCTGTTAAATCAACGCAAACAATTGGGAGGTATGTAATATATTCATGCACAGGCTGCAACATTTCTATTTTCTTCTATTCGAGTCCGAAGGTGTCGAGGAACGGCAGGCGGAAATGAGCCCGTCTGGGGGCCCGTAGCGTCACATTTGTTGAACATTTAGTTTTTAGAAGATGAATTGGCGAATATTCGTTTGCTTTCGATAGTTCTCAGTATCAGTATCAGTTTATTGAGGGAAAGATAGGCGAATGCCTTTGAACTCCCTGTTGGTAACAGGATGATATTAAATAAGTCAATACAAAGAAAAGTTTAAAATTTACGACGGTTACATGTTCCGGGAAAACAATCTTCACAAAAATATGACAGAAAAATACATGGCTACTTGCAAATAGCGAGTAGTATAATTTAATGCAGTGTATGTGATAAGCAATGTGACTCATTCTAATGTGATTCATTGTAATCTGATGAAGGAGTTTTTACCTTCATTGCGTTTG